AAAGTTCCTTCAGCCACACGGCCTTGTCCCGGGCTCTGGCAGCCGACTCCAGAGAGGTGTGCCGAGAGGAGACAGCCCTGAGGTGGGGGCCGAGCCTTCCTCAAGAGGGGGCGCTCCGGTCCGGACAGCGCCTCCCTGCGGGCGGGCCCTCCCGCCGCGGGCTCGCCGGGCCCTGGGGGGGAGGCAGGCGGTCCCCGCGTCTCTCGCGGCGGTGTTGCTCTCTCTCTCCCCCTTTCACTCTCTGAAAAGCGATGGAAAAAATATCCCCAGGTGAGGGTTAACAAATTAATAATAAAAAATAAAACGATCTTTAAGATTGTGATACCGTGTCACCTGACAGCCCTGAATGGATGTTCATGATCTTATCGTTTTCGTTTTCCCTGTGCTTGAAACATTTCAGGAAAGAAGAAAAATGATCGTCGTTGCCGTGTGGAGAATGGATTGGAAAAGAGAAAGTGGGAGACCACGTAGGAAACTCGCGGACGCCCAGGTAAAGAGATCCTGGCGGCTTAGGCCAGGGTGGGGGAGCAGGAAGGGGGAAAGGGAACAGATCTGAGAGACATTCGGGGTCACGGGTCTGGAAGTATCACCCAGGGAGCAGTGAAGAGGTGAAGTCTGCGCCCTGGGGCACTCCCCGTTTACAGCTGGACGCTGGAGCGAGTTTCCTGGGAACCAAGTAAAGAAAGCGTTTGAAGGAGGGGGCGGTGACCAGCCTGCCAGCTGCTGCTGAGCCCGCAAGACCTGGACTTGGAAGTGACTGTTGTGTTTACCAGTGGGGAGGTCACTTTGGCAGGGTCTGTGGGTGCAGTAGCAGTGAGTTGAAGAGAAATGTAGGATAGACACGGAGATAGTGAGTACAGATAGTTTTTAAAGGAGTTTGCAAAGAGGGAAGAGAGAAATAAGGCAATAACTGGAGGGGAAGTAGGGTGAAGGGAGAGTGTTTGAAATGGTGGAGAAAGTTAGGTTATCCTGGTCACGATTCCGAGAAGAGGTGAGACCTGCTGGGGCAGGCGGGGAGGGAGGGATCCGTGCACAGGCACAGAGCTGGGAGCTGGCCCACTTTGTTCAGTCTCGGGAGAGAAGGTGCAGGGAGCAGGAGCCTGCGGTGTGGTGTTGGGGGCCTGTGGCAGTGCTCTCTGATCGCTTCTGCTTTTTCAGGAATATAGGAAACGATCATCAGCTGAGAGGGTGGGGGTGGAGGTAATACAGTTTTATTGACCCATTGACTGAGGGAGCCGCACAGCATTGGAACCTGGCGTCTCAATTAGAGGAAAAGAGAGTATTACAGAATTTGGGGGACAGGTGGCTTTTAGACAAAATTGAAATGAAGCTTTATTTTGATGGGCTCAAAGGCAAGCTGGGCTGTCTGTAAAGAGGTCAAGATCTGGCTGCCAGGTTCACACAGATGTTCAGCATTGTCTCCAGACAAGCTGACAGGGCCTCAGTGACAGTGGCCAGGCTGCAGGAGGATTTCCTGCAACCTCTGCACCATCCTGGGAACCAAGAGCCTGAGGGACACCCAGACACAAGGAGGGCCCCTGGGGCCAATGAACCATTTGTACTGTTGCCATTTGTCTGTGTCAGAGATGCAATTTTCATTTAACAAACCATTTGGCACTTTGTGGCAGAGTACTTTCAAACCAGAGCCCCGGGCCCACCAGAACACTCACTGACCCAGGTGCCTGGATGGAGACCTGAACTGGCAGAAGGAAGACGTGCCTAGAAGGTAATGCTTTATGTTATAGGCGTCTCAGACCCAAGAAGTGCAGGGTCAGTTATGTCACTAATGTCCCCCATGCATCCCAGTGCTGATACTCAGGGGCACACACTGGTATGGCCATGTCCCTTGTCACAGTATTGACACAGTTACATTCTGGTTCATGAATAGCCTCTGCCTCCAGCATTCTGAGTGTCAAACACCCTATGTCCAGGGTCCTTCCCATCCTCTCCCCTCCCAAACCCTCCACCATCCAATGCCTTAAGTGGTTGCTTAGTGTGAGGTCCATCTCTGCGTCACCCTCTCTCCATTCTCACCACCATCATTCTAGCTCACATACTCATCAGCTCTTACCCCGGGTTATTGCCAGGGCCTTGTAAGCAGTCCCCCAGCCTCGGTCCCTTCCACCCCAAATGCACCTTTCATACCCAATGAAGAGTAGCCTTTGCTGCTTAAACACTTTGTGGAGCTTTTGAATACGTTCCAAGGAACATCCCAGTTCCTTAGCTAGGTTCAAGAGCATCTCAGCCCCCCCCATTAATCTCCTACCGCTCTACCTTGTCCATCTTCTGTCCCAGCCCCAGTGGACAAATATCCACATTTTGCTTTCATTTGACTAAGTCGTCATTGAATATCTATTCAGTGCAAACACAGTGGGAGAGTCAGTGACAAAATCTGACGCACACTAACACCTTCTAATTCAATCTAAAACAGGAACCCAGACTGGTTTGTAATAAAAAGTACTGATTATGAGAGCAGCTGACACTGAGCATTTAGAATGAGTCTAGTCTTCAGTCCCTTCTTTCGTCCACACCACGACAGGATCCTTGAGTCTAAGAGGCATAGAGGGTGTGTCACTTTCAATCCCTCATCATCAAAACACCTTAATGGAAATAAAAAACGGCTGTCATTACTTGTTTCATTTTACATTTCAGGACATTGCAGAGGATAACAACATGGAAAAGAAGCCCCAGGATGGTAGAAGGAGCCCGCCCCACAGAGAAGTACCCCCAGTTGTGGGGCTGCTGCTGGCCATGGCCCTCATGAACGCGCTCCTCTACCTCTGCCTCGATCGGTTCTTTATTTCCCCTCCGCGTTCCGCTCTGGATCCCAGTCACTGTCCCTATGGTTACTTCAGAATGGGACAGATGAACAACTGCTCAGCATGGCTGTCCTGTGAGGAGCTGAGGACAGAAGTGAGGCAGCTGAAGCGTGTTGGGGAAGGAGCTGTGAAGAGGGTGAGTTCCTAATTAACTTCTGTGTTACCATCGCAGTACTAAAGGGTGGCCCTTTGGGAAGGCAACTTGGCATTATGAGCCCAGTAATCTCACACCTGGGACTTTAATAAAATAATCTGATGGATGGAAAAAAGCTAAATTTTTAAAGGAGTTCTTTGCTTTGTCTTTTATAGTGATAAGAAAACTAGAAATTATAACTACAGCAGGATGGTTAATTATGGTCCAGCTACTTGATAGAACTGTAACCATTAAGTGTGATTAGGAACCTGGGTAGCAACATGAAAAAAATTTACGATGAAAAGTGAAAAAAAACCAAAATACAAAATTGTTGAATATACTGTTTTCAGCTGCAAAATTATGTATTTATGTAGAAAAATATAAAAATGATTAGAAATTGTGCTACAGTGAAGGAGGATTGTGGTCAGTTTTTTTTCATTCTTACCATTCATACTCTATAGTGATATATTGATTTTTTAAACTTTTTTTTTTTTTAAATATATCTTTATTGATTCCAGAGAGAGGAAAGGAGAGGGAGAGAGAGAGACAGAGACATCAATGATGAGAAAGTCATTGGNATTCCAGAGAGAGGAAAGGAGAGGGAGAGAGAGAGACAGAGACATCAATGGTGAGAAAGTCATTGATCAAGCCCACAAACCGGGCATGTGCCCTGACTGGGAATCGAACCCCGATCGCCTGGATCCCAGGTCGACGCTCAACCGCTGAGCCACGCCTGGCCGGGCTAAACTTTTTAATTTTAATAAGAGAAACCAAAGAGGCGAACTCAGTTCTCAAATTGAGGCTTTAAGTGCTCTTGTCTTACTAGTGAGGAGTGTGCGCTGCATTTTGGTGGTCATCGTTTCCATAGTAACCAAGGCTTACTGCTAAAACAAAGATCGACTCTAGAGGCCAGTTCAGGATTGTTGAACAAAGACAATTCCTCTGTGAGGATGTATTGAATCACTGGTAAAGAGAAGGAGGGAGCAGAAAAATGCATCTGTGGGCCTGCTGGTCTTTATTTTGGGAGACAGCGACCTGTGGCTGCTGCTTCTATGAATGTGGAACCGAGACATCTTTTGGGAGGGTGGGGACATTGCCCTAAACATCAAGTTTATTGTGCTGTTTTTACACTCCAAACCCAATCCCCTCTTCCAGTGGGGGACAGCAGGGGGTTTTCGCAGCACCTGCATGCCTCCCCATCAAGCTTCCCCCTCTTAAGCCTCAGTCCATCTCTCTGTGGTCCATCGAAAGGAGAGGAGACGTCTTAAAGGACAAGTCAGGGAGAAGGGACAGGCATTTGTATAAAATAAAACAAGGTAACTGGTTCTTACAAAGATTCATTCATTCATTGTTGTGGGTGTTAGGGGTGCAACAGTGAATGAAACAAAGACCTTCAAACCTTGCTTTGTAGTTGGGGAGTCAGACAGCCAAGAAGAGAAGAAAGAGCGTGTAATGAAACATGCCCATGACGTACGCTGTAGTTGGGGAGTCAGATAGCCAAGAAGAGAAGAAAGAGCGTGTAATGAAACATGCCCATGATGTACGCTGTGAAGACAGCTGGGCAAGTGACAGGCTTGTTACTCTCAGTGGCTGGAACCATCTGCGAGTGAGCTATGTGGCTATTTGGGGAAAAGACGTTCTGGTAGGAAAGATGGGTACCAGCAGAGGCCCCAAGATGAACTTGCACCGGGAAGGAGCCGGGGTGCCCAGAAGGCGGGATGAGGAGAGGTAGCACACAAAGTCAAGGAAGGACCTGTGGTGGCCGGCTCTTGTGGGCCTGGCAGGACATGGAGAGCCACTGGAGCCATTTGAGTGCAGGAGTGAGGTGGCCTCTCTATGTGGAGAGTAGACTGAGGCATGGCAAGGGTGGAAGATGGGCTAGGCCTTGCAGGTGAGAGCTGGTCACAGCTTGACGGGGGTGTTAGCCGTGGATGGAATGAGAAATCGTTGGATTCAGTCACAGTTTAAAGGTAGAGCCAGTAGGGTTTCCCAGCAGATTGGATGTGGGGTATAAGGGGAAGAGGGTGACTGCAAGGTTCTTGGCCTGGATAACAGGAAGAATAGTGTCGTCATTACCCGATGCAGAGAAGAAGGGAAGGAACAGACTGTGTGTGCGTGAAGCAGACACATCAGGGCTGTTTAGATGTCACGGGGAGATGTCGCACAGGCAGTAGATTGTATGTACAAATCCAGCATTTGGGGCAAGGTCCTGGGGCCTGGAATATAAATTTGGGATGGTACTGAAAGCATTGGGATGTAAAGAAATCACCAGGGCCCGGCCGGGCGTGGCTCAGCGGTTGAGCGTCGACCTAGGATCCAGGCGATCAGGGTTCGATTCCTGGTCAGGGCACATGCCCGGGTTGCGGACTCGATCAATGACTCTCTCACCATTGATGTTTCTATCTCTCTCTCTCCCTCGCCTTTCCTCTCTGAAATCAATAAAGATATATTTTTAAAAATTTTTTAAAAAAAATCACCAGGAAGGGATGTAAGTCGAGGACTTAGCAGTTGCTCTGTCCCCTTCAAAGAGGTGACCGCTAGCTGGTTTCCTGTTGTTGGAATCACTTGGAACAGTATCCAATTTATTTTTGGGAATTACTTTTTACCTCAAGGGATGTGTTTTTGAGTAGCTTTGATGGTGGCAAATCGTTGTATGAGGACAGCCATGGTTTTAGGGAATTCTACAAATCATGCCCACCCAAATACTGGATTTAATAATGTGGGTACTAACTCCAAGGAATGTAGTTTATTAATGTGTGACTATAAGGCTGTCACGTTGCCTTTTTGTTTCTTTGGTTGTAACTTGCTCTCAGGGCAGAATCCTGTGTGCTAGGGGCAGGAGCCTGCCTGTCTGACCCGCCCCATCGAGGCCTCAGTGCCCAGAGCTCTTGACGTCCCACTCTCTGACCCCCACCTCCTTGCCTAGCGTCCCTGCTTCGGTGATTCCTGTCTCATTGAGATGGTTGGTGTATTGACCCCATTACTGTTCCGCTTTCTGACATGCTCCTGTCTGCAGTCCCAGATTTACCCAGCAGCGCAGATTCCGGCCCTTATCCCCTCAGTCTTGCACAAACACTTGCCACAACTCCTGTGCGTCTGTCTCCGTCATGCGTCCCTGGAGGGCCTCAAACCACGCAGTGAGTTGACCTCACCAAGCATCTGCACTTGAGCACAGCCACGCGGTTGAACGCCTGACCACAGACAGACCTCAGGCGTGCACTCAGCACAGCCCAGCGGGCCTGCTCTATTCCCTTAATAACTTTCCCTTCCCGGTCTGAGACAGATACTTCCTCAGCACTCCCAACCCTGACTTAGCGGATGATCTTGTTACATAAGTTATCATGAAATAGAAGCCACCCAAAGGGAGTTTCCTCAACTTCCCGCCACTAGACCTTGAACCTTCCAGCTCAGGCGTGGTCCCTGACATTCCAGGACTTCCCTCATTGCAGTTTCCCGCTCTGAGGATGGTTCCTGCTGGCGCACAGCGCACTCTCTAAGAAGGAACATCCGCTTCCCTCAATTCCCTCTCCCTCTGTAGGAAAACTGCCAGTTGCTCAGTCTCTCCCGCTCATTCTCCTGCTCATTCTCCCACCCTCTTCCTCAAGCTTCCAAACCTCGCCTCTGCTCTCCTGCGGATGCCAGCCTTTGATGGTTCAGATTGGCTCTTTCTACGTCTTCCTCTTGCTCCTTCTCGCAGCCCTTGATCCCCTTAACTCCTCTTGCCTTGCAACCCTGGCTCCTCGAGCCACCATCTGTTTTTAGGTTTCCTCCCCCTCACTAGCCACTCCCGATTGCTCTCCTTTTCTACTTCTGTTCCCCATCTTGTCTCCAAATCAGCAGTTTTCAGTCAGAGGCCATTCTGCTCCTTGGGGACATTTAGCAATGAGTAGGGACACATTTGAGGTTGTCACAGTGGAGGGTGGAGGGGGTGCTACTGGCATCCAGTGGGCAGAGGCCAGGGATGCTGCTAGACATCCTACAGTGCACAGCCCAGCCTTCACCTCAACAAATACTGCCTGGCCCAGATGTCAGTAGTGCTGAGGCTGAGAAACCTTAATCCTCTTGGCTCCTTCCTGGACCCTCTCCTTTTGTCTTTATATACACTGTTAGTTGACTTAATCTAGTTCCATTGCTTTAAATACGTTTTATATGCTGCTGATTCCCAAATTTCTATCTATTGCCTGTACCTCTCTGCTGAGCTACAGGTTTGTATATCCAGCTGTTTATTCCCCACCTCTTCTTGAAGGTCTCTTGAGCATCCACGTACATCCCTTTTGGAGCGCTTGATAATTTCCGGCTCTGAAACCTGTTCTCCCAGACTTAAAATTGCAGTGAATGCCAGCACTTCTCACCTAGTTGCTCAAGCCAAAACCTGGGAGTCCTCTTGATCTGCTCAACTACACCAAGAGCAGGTTCTATCAGTTATGTTTTGAAAACATATCCCAAACTTGTCTGATAACCTCTGTCCCCAACCCATTTTAGTTAAGTCACCATTAGCTCTTGCCTTGGGACAGGCACCCCTGCTTCCACTTTGTGTGCACCAGCAGAGTCGTTTTCTAAACACAATTCAGATCACACCACTCTCTTCCTTAAAACCCCTATGGTGGCTTCTCATTGCCCTTAGGGAAGAAAATCCATACCTCCTACAATGATCTGCCACACTCCCCAACCTGGGCCTGCTATCCCCTATCTCATCCCAGACATACTCACTCCCTACCCTGCACTCACCTACTCTTGCTTTTGCTCCTTGATCAAACAGCCCTTTCTCAACTCAGGGCCTTTGCAGTTGCCTTTCTCTGCTTGAAATTGTCTTCCTCTACCTCTGACATGGCCAGCTCCCCGTCATCCAGGTCTCAGCTCAAAGATCTAGTGTGATTAAGGCTGTAGAAAATTGGATTCTCTCATACACGACTGGTGAAAGCATGTGCTGGCACCCACTTTGGAGGGTGCTGATGAGTCCACATTCTCCCACTGAGGAATCCACCTATTTACCGAGCTTATAAAAATACACGCAGATGTTCATAGGAATGTAAAGACAAGGCTATTCATTGTAGTAGTAGTGTTAAGAAAAAATGGGAAATAATTTGAATGTCCATCAAGTCTTTAAATCCTGTTACAGTTCTATACAAAGTTATAGAGCTAGATGGGAAAGAGAACCCAATTCATTACCTGGGTTTTTCTATTAATGAATCGCCCTTCTCAGATCCAAAAGAAATCTACAGAGTTCTCTGGCCCAACTCCATTTGATATAATATTTCTAAGTTCTTTTTAAAAATGTTTTTAAAATGTGAAAGTAATATATATTCATTCTGGAAAAGATAGAAAATATCAAATGGTGTAAAGAAAACAACCACCCAGAATCGTACCATATAACTGAGAACTGAAGCATTAGCCTATTTCTTTCGATTTCTATGTAATTTTATATCCCTTTTAATTTGCAGTATGTTTTATCTGTGAAAACTCTATCAATATATGCATTTTTCTGACCACAGTATTTTTTTGAGTGATCCTACCATAACTGAACTACTCCCCATTCTTTGATGGATTGATAGGTTCCAGATTATGTTTTTAAGTAATTCTTTTAAAAACTATTTTTCTTAATTTATTAATTGGGGGGGGGGCGGGGAGAAACATCAATTTCATTGTTCCACTTATCTATGCATTCATTGGTTGATTCCCCACTATGTGCCCTGACCAGGAATCGAACCTGCAACCTTGGCATATAGGGGTAACACTCTAACCGACTGAACTACCTGGCCAGGGTTCAGTTTTTTTTTTAATAAATAATGCCACATTTTTATTCCTAGAGGTTTTTATCTATTTCAGATTATTGCCTTAGCTAGATTATGGACTTAGATATTAAAGCTCTTGATAAGTAACACCCCAAGTTGCCTTTTTACTTTCACAATGAAGAAGCAGAAGCCCAGAGAGACACAGCCCACTGGGGCAGAAGCAGCTGACCTGACTCCCGAGCCTGTTTCTCCTCTGCAGTTTTCTGCCTTTCCTCTGGGAGTTTAAGCAGAAAATCAAGGTTCTTAATTACAGCACTTCCTGCAAGGCTTTCCTAGCTAATAACAATCGAGAATCCAACGCAGTCCCGTACAGTTTTCTGGAAGCTGTGAACCAGGATGGGAAGGGCTGGTGTTTGTGACATTTCAGCTCCTGCTTTTACAGTTGAAATCACACAAAGTACAGACCATGTCAGAATGTTTACCTTACGTAATAGAGCTATTCCTATTTGTGGTTTACTATGCTACCTTTTAAAATTAATGAGTAATCTTGTTATGTGTGATGGGCTGGCTGGGCTCGATGCCCTGCGTAGGATTTTCCAGTCTTCTCTCCCTTCCTCTCACTCTTGGTGCTGCAGTATTTTGGAACTGGCAGTCTGTTTGCCACTCAGTGCCTTTATACATGCAGCCCCTCTCCCAGGAATGCACTTTCCACACTCCAGATCCGCCCTGCAAACCCTGTGTGTCCTTAAGAGCAGGGGTGGGGAACATCCAGCCCATGGGCCACATACAGCCCAAGAAGTTATCTGATCTGGCCCTGCTGAGGCCTCACCAAAGAGAAGCAGTTCCAGCCATCACATTAGGGGTGAGTTAATTAAATGTTTGACTAAATATAGCAGGCTAATTTTTAAGTTTATAGTTTTATATGGCCAGCAAATGATGATATAAATATCTAAATGTCCCTTGGCAGAAAAAAGGTTCCCCACCCTTGCTTTACAGCAATTCCCAGAAGCCTCGGGCACCTCTTCAAATGGCCCATAGCACCCTGACCAGAGCAAGTCTCTCCTGCCTCCTCCTGCTAATGTGGCACTTGCCTTGCTGGGTATCTTGTGTTTGCTCATAAGTGAGTCTTTGTAACTAGACTAAGAGCAACCCTAGGGCTGGGTCTGTGTCTGGTTAATTTCTGTTTCCTCTGCACCATACCCAGTGCCTAAAAGATATTTGTGAACTTGTTTCCCGGCTCCCTAACACAGGTGATGTTCTCTGGCTCTGTTTCAGGTCTTTCTGTCGGAGTGGAAGGAACGCAAAGTCGCTCTCTCACGGCTCACCAGTCTGGAGATGAAAGACGATTTCCTCCATGGACTGCAGATGCTGAAATCTCTGCAGAGTAAACATGTGGTCACACTGCTCGGCTTCTGTGAGGATGACAACACCATTCTCACCGAGTATCACCCCTTAGGGCCCTTGAGCAGCCTGGAAGGAACGCTCAACCTTACCAAGTACCAGAACATGAACACCTGGCAGCAGCGGCTGCAGCTGGCCATGGATTACGTGGGCATCATCCACTACCTGCACCACAGCCCCCTGGGCACGCTGGTCATGTGCGACTCCAACGACCTGCCCAAGACGCTGTCCCAGTACCTGCTGACCAGTAACTTCAGCATCGTGGTGAACGACCTGGACGCCCTGCCTCTGGTGAACCACAGCGCTGGGACATTTGTGAAGTGTGGCCACAGGGAGCTTCACGGGGATTTTGTGGCTCCAGAGCAGCTGTGGCCCTACGGAGAGGATGTGCCTTTTCAAGACGATCTTATGCCCTTGTATGATGAGAAGGTCGACATCTGGAAGATTCCAGACGTCTCCAGTTTCCTTTTGGGGCACGTGGAAGGGAGCGATATGGTCCGATTCCATTTGTTCGATATCCATAAGGCCTGCAAGAGCCAGGCCCCTGCAGAGAGACCCACCACTCAGGCTATTCTGGACACTTACCAGAAGGTTTTGAATTCACTCAGAGACACCATGATATCTCAGACAAGAGAAATGCTATAAAGACTAGTCTGGTCAGTGAAGGGTGGGATTTAAGGAACAAGTGGAATAGCTACAGCAGTTCTGCTCTGACAGTGAGCTTGTTGCTGTTTAGCCAGACATGTTTAGCTTCCTCTGCGTCTGTGTGCACACGTGAGCACCTGCCTCTGCTGGCCACGGTGGCCACCTGGGTGGAGGCTGCTAAGCAAGAGCCACCAGACTTGATTTAAGTCTGGCTTGATTTTTTTCTCTTTTTTAAAATACGTCTTTATTGATTTCAGAGAGGAAGGGAGAGGGGGAGAGAGAGATAGAGACATCAATGATGAGCCATTGATCAGCTGCCTCCTGCACACCCCCTACTGGGGATTGAGCCCGCAACCTGGACATGTGCCCTGACCGGGAATCAAACCTCGATCTCCGGGATCCTAGGTCGATGCTCAACTGCTGAGCCACACTGGCCGGGCTGGCTTCACTTCTAATGCTGATCACTCCCAGGTGAAGGTGCAGAGAAGCAGCGACTCTAACCTGTAGCTGAAGGAAGTAACAAAGATGTAGCTAAAAAGCACTTTCCCCTGTCCTGAGTTTGTAAGCTTGGAAGAAGGTATGTAGAGAAGATTTTTAAATGGCAGTATATGAAAGAAACATAGAGTATTTCTTCAATTATTTTTCCTCTTTTGTTTTAGATGGTAATCAACATACCAGGTCGTGGAAGTATTTCTGGTTCATTTCACTTGGTATGGGTGAGGCCATCTTTACTGTTTTAAATGACTGATCTGTGACGCTCCAGTGCCATCCTCCTTCCTAGGAGCTAAAGGAGCACTATGATAGCATGTTCTTTGAAATTTTGGATGGATAAGGAATATTTAAAACAGCAAGTATGAGGGAAATGATATGTTACTGCCTTGGATGGTGCTTGTGAAATTCCTGTTTACCTTCCTGCTGGGTTTTCTGTGTCCAAAATTAATTATTGTGAAAATTTTATATCAATACTGTCACTCATGACTATACAGTGTCAAACCTTTCTACTCAAGTTGCACGATTGAATTCTTCAGAAAGCTCTTTCCTTGCTCACTATCATTCTCATTTGCAGAGGATGATAGATTTGGTGCATATTAATTATCCCTAATAAGGTGATAAAAGCTGACATTGAGGGGTGGGATCACTGGAATCACAGGGATCTGGGCCTCACACCAGAGTCTTTGTCTCAATAGGTCTGGGATAGAGTCCGAGGCGCTTCATTTCTAACTGGTTCCCAGGGCAGTGAGAACCATTGCCTCTAACTGTCAGGCAGCGCCCCACAGGCACTGACTAGGCAGCAGAGAATATGGTTGCCCACCGTATTGTTTTAACTGCTGCTTTTTGTAATAAAAACTCTGCCACAACCCAGTAGGATGGCTGTAATCAAAAGGATGGACAATAACTAGTGTCTCTGAGGATGTGGAGAATTGAAACCCTCATACATTGCTGGTGGGAATGTAAAATGGTGCAGCTGCTTTGGAAAACAGTCTGGCATTACTGTGACCCAGCAGTTCCAGTCTCAAGTATTTACCCAAAAGAACTGAAAACATGTCCACACCAAAAACATCTCAAATTCAGCATTTCCCAAATAACTCTTCGCTGTTCCAAGTTTGCTGCTTCTGTGTTTCCTACATTTGTAAGTGTCGCACCCTCCATCTGATTTTCCAAGGCAAAAACCTGGTTTATATATAATAAAATGCAACCAGTTGCCCAGCCGGCGTGGCTCAGCGGTTGAACATTTACCTATGATTCAGGAGATCGAAGTTTGATTCCTGGTCAGGGGACATGCCTGGGTTCGGGCTCTATCACTAGTGGGGGGCATGCAGGAGGCAGCCAATCAATGACTCTGTCATCATTGATGTTTCTATCTCTCTCTCTCCCTCTCCCTCCTCTCTCTGAAATCAATAAAGATATATTTTTAAAAAATGCAACCAGTTTGTGTACATTTCAATGAGTTTTGATACATTTACATACTCATGCCACCACCCCTACAGATAAAACATAAGACATTTCTGTCTCCTAGAATTTCCCATGTGTCCAATCCATTTAATCCTTTCCTCACTGCTGCCCTCAGGCAATGACTCTGCTTGCTTTTTAGCAAGGTTGTAATTTTTCCCAGAATTTCATATAATTGGAACCATACAGTATGGTAGAAACCTTTTAGTGCTAATCTTTTTTCATTCATTGTAATGTTTTTGAGATTCATCATGATGTTTATATCAGTAACTTACACCTTTTTTACTGGGGAATAATACTCCATTTTATGTATGTACCACAATCTATCTGCTATCTGCTGGTGACATTGGGTTGTTTCCACTTTGGGGCTATTATGAATAAAACTGCTGTTAACATTTAGATACAAGTCTTCTGTCTTGGGTAAATACCTAGGAGTGTTCTTATGATCACACGTAAGTATATTTTTAACTTTACAAGAAACTTCTAAACTTTTCCAAAGCATCTGTACCATGTTACATTCACATTAGCAATGTGCAAGAGTTCCATTTGCTCCATACACCTTAGCCAACACTTGTTATTATCAGCTGATTTAATTTTAGCTATTCTAGTGGGTGTGTAGTAGCATCTCATTGTAGTTTTAATTTACATTTTTCCAAAGATAAAATATGCTGAGAACCTTTTCATGTTTATTGGCCATTCATATCTTCTCTGATGAAGAGTCTGAATCTTTTGCCCATTTTTAAATAACTTGCTTATTATTAAATTGTAAGAGTTCATTGTGTAACCTGGAATTAAATCTGTTACCAGATGTTTCTTTTGCAAATCTTATCTCACAGCCAGGGGCATGCCTTTTCATTTTCTTAAGTGTGTTTTATTTAAATTTGTCTTTTTAAATGGTTTATATACTGTTTAAGAAAGATTTGCCTAACCCAAAGTCATGAAGATTTTCTCCTTTATTTTCTTCCAGGAGTTTTATGCTTTTAGCTTTTACATTCATTTCTAGTTCAGTTTTGTGTATGGTGGGAGGTAAGGGTTAAGGTAAGCATCATTTATTGAAATGATTGTTCCAGCATCATTTATTGAAAAGATTATCCTTTCCCCCATTAAATTGCTTTGGCAACTTGGTGGAAAATCAGTTGTGTGCGTTTACTTTTAGGGTCTCTTACCTTATTCTATTGATCTGTATTGCTACCCTTATGCCAGTAACACACTATCTTGATTACTATAGCTTTATAAGTAATCTTGAACTCAGTGCAAGACCTGCAACTTTGTTCTTTTTCAAAATCATTTTACATTTCCATATAAATTTTAGAATTACTTGTCAATTTCTACACACACATACACAACAAATTTTGATTTGGATTGTACTCTACATAGATCTACTGCTGGAATTTTGATTTGGATTGTACTCTACATAGATCTACTTGGAAAAAGTGGCATCTTAACAGTAATGGTTCTTCTAACCTATGAACATGGTAGATCTCGCCAACTATTGAGGTCTTCTTTAATTTCAATAATGTTTTGTAGTTGTTAGTGTTCAGGTTTTATACCTAGTTTGTTAAATTTATTCATGTATTAATTTAAATATTCTATTGTAAATGTTATTTATAAAAAGTCACGTTCAAATTTTGTTTATATATTGATACGAAAATACAATTGATTTTTGTATATTGACTTCGAATTCTGTAACCTTGCTAAATTCACTTATAAATTCTCAGTTTGTGGGGTAGGGAGACATTTCTTAAGATTTTCCACATATCCATTCATTCATGCCATGTTTGAATAAAGCCAATTTGTATGCTTTTTGTCCCATACATTTTCTTGCCTTGCATTGACTAGGACCTCCAGGGCAATGCTTAGTAGAAGTGGTGAGGGCAGATATCCTGGCCTTGTTCCTGAGCCAAGGGGGAAACATTTAGTCTTTCAAGTGTCATGTTAGCTATAAGTTTAGTGTTTATCTTTCCATATGTGTCTTTACACTTTTATTACATATGCATATATCCCTAAATAACATAGTTTTTCTTGGCTTTACACTTTACTTACAAGTTATGAAGGTATTTCTGCAAGTTCCATTTTCCCCTCTGCCTTATTTTGAGATTAATCCATTTCGATACATCTAACTCTAGATCATTACCATTGCTGTATATACACTGCGATTTAGCCTTCCCTTCTCCTGATGGACATTTATATTGTTTACAGGTTTTTGCAATTACAAATCATTCTGCTACAAGCATTATTGTCCATGTCCCTTTATACATACGGTAGTTTTTTCCAGCCATACAGCTGGGAGCGCAACTGCGGGGTCATCGTGCCTGCTCGCCTTGAACTGATCAGAGACTGGCAAAGAGCTCCTCAAAGTGGTGGCACCACATGATGGCTTTTAAGTTTCCTCTCTCTCTGGGAGTGAACGCCTTGGGACTAGGGCTCTGCCTGTCTTACGACATTTCCAGAACAATGGTGAATGGCTGGATGCAGGAATGGAGCAGAATGTCGCTCGGGGTAGTGAGCAGAGACGGGAGCAGCGGCTTGGGGCCTGCGGGTGGCCTCCCTTCTGGATGCTTCCCCGAGGACAAAAAGCGCTGTGCCGCCTGCAGAGAACCTCGGGCCTTTGCTCAGGCCCTTTACTTAGTAAGCTTCCCCGAGCGCGGCGCGGAGAGGGGCCCGGCCGCTCGGACCTTCCCGCACCG